CGGCACACAACGTCACGAGTTGAGGTCAGCAGTACACAACCAGGGTCCCCTCCTTCGGCTGCCGCCCATTTCACACTGCACCCGACCACTTTGGCCCCTCCTACGGGTGGTGAGTCCGTTGGAAGGGGGACCCACGTCTCCTCTTCGGGCTGAGCCCGGCCGGGCTCCGTGGGTGAAAGCCCGGCCACCAGGCGCTCGCCATCGTGCCCCACCTCCAGGCCTGGCTCCAGAGGGGGGCCCCGGTGACCCGCGTCCGGGCGAGGGAACGCCAGATCCAATGTTTGTATTCATCTTAAGGGGTCTTCGGGCTGCGCTTTGTCTGGTTCCTCACCTAGGACCTGTCTGCCATGGGTGACCCTACCAGGGGCATAAAGCCCCAGACAGCATAGCTCCTASGATCATTGGGACACTCAAACCCCTCCACCACGATAAGGTAGCAGCCCAAGGAGTTTTTTACTGTTTTACATTTTACTGTTGAAAACAGTAAAATGTAAATTATGTGCAAAAATATATTATTAGTTGGAACTAAGTTGGAAAAATAAATATAAAGGTCAATTAAATTACAAAACGTGAGGTAAAGCTCTCCTTTTTAAATTTAATTGGCACATTTTTTAATTGTATTTATTTATTGGTCCATTTATATATTTTTACTTTTTTTTCTAGTTATGTCAGTGTCGGTCCTCCATACTGCAGAACTTGGTAATTCACTGTCTGAATCAGGTGTGCTGGAGCAGGGAAAAACATAAAACCTGCTGCGCTGCGGCCCTCGAGTACCAGGATTGCCCACCCCTGCCTCAAAGTGTTTATTTTTACTGAGCTTAACTTTCATTTAAGAAAAACTAATTGTTTAAGCCAGCATATAGCTGGTACAAAAACTCGCTTAAAACCTTGTAACCATTTAATTCCAGTGTACACATCGAGGAAAGGGGTTGAATTACTGTTTATGCAGACACAACTCAGACTCGCCTTTCCTGTTCCCTGTGGTGCAGCTGTTGACACATGCAGCAGGTGCGTATTGTCTGTTATGGAACATCCCAGAATGAAAAATAAATCTTTTCATTGCGCCTGAGAGTATCTGATTACAGCAAAGAGCTTTTTGAAATCATCAAACTAACTCCAAATGTGGTGCAGGCTAACCAGAGGTTACAAAACAGAAATAATGTGTGGAAATGCTTCTTAAAGTGTTTCTGTGAGATAATGCTTTRGGGACTTTTTATAGTGTTTCATTTCAATGGCAAACATGTACGCTCCACTATTATTTGCTACAATTACAACACATCCTCTTTGTGCAGGTTCATCAAAGGCACCGCCTGTGGTTTCTCTGACCTCCTGCTGCCATCCTGAGGAAATGACAAGAATGTTGTTTTTAATTACCTATTATAATACAAACTGGGTTACAGTCCTTCATTAACACTTCGCTTTATCTTTCATWACATGCCAACATTAAATTAATAATTAGCACACATAATCATATCATAAATTTTAAGAATCATGTTCTTTATTCTACATTTTTATTTATTTATTTATTTTACCTGGTTATTCTTTTGCAGCTCCACAGGCATTCCATCCCAGCATGCATTGTGTGTAACACTGGGAACCACCGTCATGCAGGTCTTGGGACAAAAACAGGATTTATGCATGTGATGTTGCAAGGAGTTGATTCTTTGATTCTTTCACTAAATGTTCTGGGTCTATGCAAGCTTCTTAACCATAAACTGTTAATGCTGGTGAATGAATAAAGCTTATTCAAAACACAGAGACATGCAGAATTAAAAGGCCGAGCTTTACTAGCCGACTTTGAGTTTCAGACTAAGCCAGTTGTAGTCATAACGCAAATATCACAAAATGTCACAGAGTTTGCGTTYAGCTACTGCCACATCAAATTTTAGCTTAATATCTGTAATAGTGACTGATTAAAGCAGTTTGTGTCTTCTGAGGTCAGTTATCTGTGGTGGTCATCTTGTGACAGACCCCCCCACTACCACCACCAAATTGCTTACACTGCATTCTGCTGGGATCTCGATGTTTTTTTCATTATTCAGGTCCCACCACAGCAGCCCCTCTTTAATCTGACTCCTCTCTGTTGCTCCTGATGAAGAAACGACTCACATCAGTTCTGAGGTGATGATTAAAAATGGAGCTTTTAAAAGGTAAACAAGAGTTTTTGAACAGCGCAGAGCTTTTCAAAGTGATTTTACCCGTCGCATAGCTCACAATCAGCCCGACCAGTACGACTGAACTGGTGGCCATGGCTCCAAAATAGAGGTAAGACATGGAGTAGAAGTTGTTGATCCCGCTGGTGTTGGGGAAGGATGAACAACAATGAGAGAGAAAAGGATCAACTGGATGTATTATTTGAAATGAGCAAACATTTGATTAGATTGTGATTGTGTCTCCAAATGAGTTTGTGCCATCTAACTTTGTAAAAACGACCCCCACCCACTCCCACCCGACCTTTTGTCCGCAGGATGAAGTGGGGTCAAGATGGAGTGCTGCTTGTGGTTGGAGCTGCTGGTCAGGGTGACGTTGGCAGAGCTGCAGCTTCCCGTGAAGCTGGGCAGGACGCCCATCGTCTCCTCGCTGGGCGGGTAAAGAGTGGAACCTACAGCCAGCCACAGAGAAACACAGAAGCCCACCAAAATCCCAGAATATGCCCCCTGTAACAAAAGAAACACTGTCCTTTAGAGCATGAAGATGTATTATTTAATCAGAGTTTATTCTAAGACATCGTTTGAGAGTTTTAGCTCTGCTTGAGAATTTAAGGGTCATGTGATTCTTTAAGAATAAAAAGAAAAAAAAAAAGAAAATCTAGTTGCTCACAAGCCGGTTTGTCGCCGGAACAAAAATTCCAAGTATGAAGACGCCCAACAACGGCCCACTGACCACACCCATGACAGTAAACGAACCCTGCAGAGAAAAGACAAAGAAAAGCAACAAAATCAACAACCAAAATGCCATGATGGCATGAATCACTTTTTTTAACATCCAAAGTCAGATATGAAGATCAGTTTTAATATAAAATCAAATCAATGGCATGAAATGTAGTTGTTGTGCTATTCAGGCACCGCCCCTTTAAAAAATGAAATCAAATCAAAATCTTAACAGACTTCATGTAAACATCCCAATTTCTTCATCTTTTTTTATTTTCATCAGCTACTTTTATGTTTCAGCTGTGGACAAGCTTAAAGCCGTTCTGTGCTGCAGCAGTTTGTTCAGTTTTGAAGCCAGTTGTTCWGCTGAGATCAAAAAGAAAAAATAAATACAGGTCCTCTGGATGGGTTCTTCTTTGGTGTATTATTTTTTCTTTTTGATTATTTTCTACCTGGATTACTGAGATGCATCAGGAAATTGTTCTGCTAAGATTTACCTGAAGAACTCCCCAGTCCAGGAAGGAGGAAAGAGCTGCAACAGTGATACAACCAACCCCATACAGGAAGGCTTTGRGATGAAAAGAGAACATAAATAATTCAAGTCARTTCAGTTTATTTATGTAGCGCCAAGTCACAACAAACGTCTCAGGGCACTGCAAGCTATCACTCTAATGAAGCCAGCAGATTGTGTTGAAGCTTCACTTCATCACAGTTTCCCATCCTGAGGTTCCTGCAACAGGAAGTGATGTCAAAGGGGAATGACAGCATGTAAGCAGWGCATTGCTACAGTGGCTAACAACACAGACCGTTGAGAAGAACCTGATGTTTCTTGAGATTGCTTTGAGAGTCACTATCACAGGGAGATTGTCTTGGAAAATTAAATTATCTTTTAAAGTCCTACATTTCTTCTCAGGCCAMGAGTCARTGACCTCTTTTGCTTACTTTAAAATGTCATCATGTTTTATGATTTTACTCTTTATCTTCTGTTTTCTCTCGGACAAAGRGTTTTAAGATCAGGACGATRTCTGTTTAGAAGTAATCATTCTTGTTGCTGTTTATCAAACATCRTTCTCTCCTTGGCTCAGTTTGTCTGTTTGGATAACATACTGTATGAATGCATTTGAAACTGCCTCRGTGCACACATTTTGTACCACTGCCCTGTGTGACATGATGTGTGTCTTGCATATTGCAATGAATCCTGACTGACCTTTCACAGAGTACTTTTGTTCTTGGATCTCGTGTTTCTGTCCAGGTAAAATAAAGATTATTTCCACAACAGAGATGAAGAAGATTCAGAGTTCTAATAAAAGGCCAGCAAGTTCCCCTTCTTAAAGAGTTCACCTTTGATGTCACTTCCTGTTTCACTTTGCTGAACCAAGATCAAAAGAAAATCTGCCAATAATGCAACAAACTGGGTAAAATCATGTGTTTCATAAATACAAAAGTGTTTTCTTTGACTTTTTGTATTTGAAGTATGTGAATGTCATGGGCACTTAAACTCAAAAGCTTTAAAAAGATATTTAAAATTTTTTCCTTTATGGAAAAAGTTTAATGAAACCTAAATAGATGCATAAATTCTAGTTGGCACACTAAAAAGCAAAGAATTAGTCCTCATTAAAGACACTTAGAGTTTCTATTTAAAAAGAGGTTTTTAATCTTAATGGGATCTTCCTGGGTAAAGAAATGTTAAATAAAATTTAAAAAGATGATGGTTGACCATTATTGTTTTCTAAGTCCCTAAACTCAAATTGAAATGCTATTGTATTCCAACTTT